CGCTGCCTGTCCACTGCCTGCGGTCGCCAGTCCCTCCCGCTTGGCAGGAGGCTGCTGCTGGCACCACCCCTGGGGAAAGCTTTGCTGGCCCTGATCCCCTTTGTGCCCCATCTGTGGCTCAGTGGCACTGGGCTGTGACCCTCAGGAGGGGGTGTGGGCAGCCCCAGATGCTGCCCTGCTCCCAGGCATGGCCGGGCTGCTGACCCACGGGTGAAAGAAACAGCAGCAGATGGTGGGTCCAAATCTGCTCTTCAGCCAGGTATCAGGCACGGGGTGAGCTGCCTGGCCCTGCTCCCAGCACTGCCTGCACCCTGCCTGGGCAGGAGCCCACCCCCTGGAGCAGAGCTGTGCTGTGGCAAGGAGTGTCCCAGGGTGCCAGCACTGATGATCTCTTCCCCACAGGTGGATCATGCCAAGGTGCTGCACTACATCGGGGCAGGAGTGGCCTTTCCCACCAGCATGCTGTTCCTGCTCCTGCAGTCCATCCTCACCTACCGCATGGCCAAAACCCGAGGGCAGTACTGGACTGGCCATTTGCGTAGCATCCTCACCACCGTGGCCTTCTTCACCCTTGTCTTCAGTATCCTGAAGGGTGTAGGGAGGAGATTGGGGATGAGCTGGCAAAAGGTGGTCCTCACGGAGGGTATGCACCCCATGTGCTCTGTTCTTTGGTCTGGTAGTGAGGTGTGGTGCCAGGAGGGGGCCTGGGCAGGGGACTGAGGGTGGGCAGCTCACTGCAGGTGTAGCCTGGAGGAGTGGCAGTACTGGGGCTGTGCAGGGGCTGGGGAGGGGAGGTGACATTGGTGGGCGTCTCTGGGTGCTGGAATGCCCCAGACTAGCCCTGCCCTGGCTGCTGCAGCCCAGCCCAACCACCACTGCAGGCTTCAGTCCCACACCACCCAGGGCTGGTTAGTTGTTGGGGTTTTTTGGTGAGAGAAAGGTATGTTGAACCTTTGGTAATGCAAAGTCCATCTGGATTACCTATTGGACTGAGTACGAAAGTGCTGTGTGCAGGTGCCAGGGCAGGCTCAGGGCAGCACCTCTGCCAGCCAGGGCTCCCTGGCACCTGCTAGCTGACCTGCCCATGGGATGAGGCAGAGCTCAGTGAGCAGGCACTGCAGTCTGCAAACACTGTACCAGGGAGGGAGGGCATGGCATCAGGCAGACTGGGGCTCAAAGAATGGTCCCAAATATGTGGCCAGGGTGTCAGGAGCGTATTTGGGACTGTGGTTAGGGATAAATTGGGAAACAAGTTAGTGGTTATTGGCAGGAAGGGGAAAAAGCACGTGGTGTCCATGGGCCCATGTGGTGTCCTGAGGTGAGCAGCTCAAGAGGACCCTGGGGGTGCTGGCAGACCTGGCATATATCAGAGGGTCCTGCTGTCACTGCAGCAGGCAGGCTGACTGGGAAGCATGCAGGGAGCTAGGAAGGGCAGAAATGCTGCAGGGCCATGCCAGCTGGGAGGGACAGGAAGGGCACATAAGGACAAGGGAGACAGGACTGGTGCCCATCTGCCATGGCCATGCTGCTCTGTAAGCACTGGGGACTGTCAGTGGGAAAGCAGCGAGCTGTGGTGTGGAGAGTGTGGGGAAAGGGCTGGGATCTCTCCTGATGGGATGGGGGGAGTGAGCAGAGGGCTCTACACTGTACAGATCATGTCCCTGCCTCTGCGACTCTCCCAGATCTTGGTCTCACTGGCAGAAGACACAGTCCTGCCAGAGGTTTCACCTGGAGGGCTGAGGGATGTACTTGCCTTGTCTCCTCACCCATGGTGGTTCTCGCAGTTGTTTTCCCTAGAGATCCCTGGTGGGGATGAGAGAAGCACAAAGAAGGTCTGTCAGTGGTAGGACCTGGAGAAGTGGGAGCTGGCCCCCTCTCTGGGGTGGTCCAGCCTGCAGCACAGAGGGATGGATAGGAGGTGCTGCAGGGCTGGGACACAGCAGCCTAAACCCCTATACCAAGAGGACGGAGAGCTGATGAGTTTTATTGGTTTTTGACTGCATCCTGCAGGAGGATGGGTAGCATCAACCTGGCTTGAGGAAGAGGTGAGGGGTGTGGGGAGGGTGAGGCATCTGGGCACCTGGCTTGCACTGAGACTGCAGCCTGAGTTCCTCCTGACCCGGCCTCTTCAGAAAATCCCTGCCTGGCATCAGTCCCATGATTTACCGAGGCTGGTTTGGGCATGTGTGCCACCACTTCACCTGTGCCAGGGCCCTCCTGGTGCTGAGGGAAGCATGTGGAGTTTCTGGGTGTTAGGAGTGGTGGTGTGTTTCCTGCAGAGGGTGGGTACTCATGGCCACTACAGCATACGGTGCCAGTGGGACATGATCCTCCATGGGGTAGTTGGGGTCCAGCTGTGCTTTCCTTGACCGGGATACCCTCAGGTGGTGTGTTCTTCATTCAGGAGAGCTTTGTGCTGCAGCATGTGGCTGCCCTGTGCGAGTGGATGTTCATCATTGATGTCCTGGTCTTCTATGGCACATTCACCTTTGAGTTTGGGGCCATCTCCACAGACACCTTCCTGGTCCT